CTTCCTCCTCCCCTTTTCATTTCCACCTAGTAAATGGAGCTTACATAAACTTTGAGTCCTTGAGAGCTTGATGTTTCCATGAATACCTGTTTCCCCTCTCTCATACATGAAAAGGATAAGTTAATTCTCAAATATACATTTAATTGATGCACTATACAATGGTTGAACAAATAAAATGGACTTTAGATTGATATTTTTATTCAAATTTCAGTAGCTCTTCAACTGTGAGATCCGAATTTTGTAAAGTATGAAAAAAATCCATTTTATCATATGATTTTTGGAATATTGAACCAATACACCTCCAAACATATACTCAACACTCAGGAGCAACTCACACCCTGCTATTCCCTTTCAGAATATTTCTTATAAAAATGAATTTTCAATATTATAAAGGAGATACATGTGAATTAATTTCTCTAGTCTATATTTGTGCTCATTTTATTAATGCTATTAGTAGACATAATAATAAAAATCCTGACATTACAGAATTATGATTATGCGATGTCTATTTAATGACCCAGAACTTAACCAGCATTTATCATGGCCTTCATTCAAAATAAGAATGGCATATCAACAACTGAGATTTTTACTTTCTTTTTGGACCAGCAACTCATTAGTAATTGATGGTCCTACTCCTCTGAATGAGATAAAAATAAGATGAGGCAGTAGATATACAACTACATTTGATATCAATGGCAAAATGAAATTCTTAATTTAACTTCCTGTCTTCCTAAAAAGAACAAACATCCTTATTGACATCTTGGGTGTCAGCAGTTCTCTGAAATATGAACAAAATTTCCCTAAATTGTATTTTCTATGTGTGAATGAGAAGGTAGTAGGGTCATGGGGGTAGTGAGAAAATATATTAGCAATTCACATTTAATTATCAGCTTGTAGTTCGAAATGCTATCCCCAAACTAAGTTTTGGCACTATCATATAGTAACAGTGACTACTACATCACTTGTCATTTATTGATATTTTTTATTGAGATTTGTAGCTTATGATTTTACATGTGATTATACAGAGCAGTTAAGTAAAAAAAAAAAAAGAAGAAGAAGAAAGAAAGAAAAAGAAAAAGAAAAAAGTTGAACAAGGGGAAAAGTTCAACAGACTGAAGTCTGGTAGATGTGTATACTAGGAAGGTCATGTGCAAACATGAAAGGGGTAAGACAACCAAAGCCTGCAATATCTATATCCTTTTCCCTAAAACATGATATTTCTTATTTAGAAATAGCTCAATTTGTCATTAGCTTTAAAACCATTTTTAGAGGCTCTATTTTGCATCACATTTGATGCTTGGCAAGTGGGAAGCAGTATGGTAAAACTTCAAGTTATCTTTCAACTTCCAGTGTATTCACAGAAACCAAATGAAGGGAAATCAAGCTGACTCTGAATTTCTTGATTTTAGAGTATATAGGCAAACATCAGTGTTAGAATATACAAGGATGTGTTTATAAACGAACATATTCTGATTGGCCACAGCTGTTTCAAGACATAACATCTTTTATTACTTAGGATGTAAAGGAAATCTTTATTCTCAAATGAGTCATGGAAACCAACTTAAAATGTTTATTTTCTTCATTTCTCTCGATTCATAATGTCACTCAAAATATAAGATACTGTGAGATTTTGAAATTCAAAGCACTAAAAAATGATCTAGAAGACTAGGCAGTGGTAAGCATAAGAGCACACTCTGTCCCAGTCAATGTATCCTGAGTCCCACACCAAAGACATCTTCCTACTGTTAAAGAGATAATAGTGTTCATGAATTTTATCAAATTTCTTTTGAGGTCAACCTATATATTTCATCTTGAAGCCAGGGTCATCTTTCCAGTTTAACCTTTAAAAATTTACTGTAGGTATGACTCCTGTGTTACTGAGTCAAACTTAACTGCTTTGAAATTCAAAGTCAGAATATGCTCATTTTAAAATTGTTCAATCTGAGTGATGTTTATCTAACATTTAGGTCCTTAGAAGTCAGCTTTATTTTCCTCTTCTTTCAAACTCTTAAATCACTATAAAATGAGAGAAGTATTGGAAACACTTTTAGATACATTATGAAGTACTCTGATAACATCATATTCGTAACTGTAGAAATTTATGAATTGACTACAAGAATTGGAGAGGACTTGAGAGTAATATTTTCTGCAGTGTATTTGCTCAGTCTCAATGTACTATTCATATATAATGACCTATACTGTAACATGGATATTGCTTGGTTATGAATTATTTTCCACAATGTACAATTCCAATTTAATAGTAATTTAATGTTTATTAGAAAGATTTATAATAAATCTCTAAAAGTTACAAAGCTACTAGTAGCATTAACTGTTGGCATACAATAGAGTAAGCAGATTAGAGTGAAAGAGAATTGAGGCAAATATTTATATTTGAGAAACATTAATAAAATATTCATGTTTCCTTGAGACAGGTGTAGCAAGACAGGACATATGTAAAGAGAGTTTTTTCTTATAGAATTAGGAGAATAAAATTAAAATGTGGTGGACTCCAATTTTACATTTGATTTTAACACAGCAATAGCATTTAATTCAATGTTTATGATTTTTATCACTCTAAATGATTTAGATATATTTTTCCTTGAAAAAAATTTCTCCATAACTCTAATGTAGCTACTGCTATCTCACCATAAATTTGCCAACATGATTCTTTTTCTATTCATATTGTGATAGAAAAGACTTGGTTATCACAATGGAAGTTTTTTTCCTTGTAGTTTTCTTTGACTTCTTCATATAAATCATAGTTCTCCTTTCACATGCATTCTCTAAAAGTCAGTTTGCTTTGAAATACTCTAAGGGGGCACACAGTATTAAATGAGAAAAAAAAAGTATGAGATACTATAAAGAGAAACATTTAAAATCAAGACATTTAAATATAAACTTTAAAGTCCTATATGTTAAAGAACTGCTGAGCCCCAATTTTTTTAAAAGGTGGAATATCGATTATTTCAACTGAAAATATTTAGTGATAATTACTACCTTTTATATTGCAAAAGTCAATAATGTTTACAGTATTGCAAACAAGTTATTTCCTTTGCAAACTGCAAATAAGGAGAATCAGAGTAGAATATATGTATTCAGGTAGAAGTTAAAAATTGATTTAACTTTTAAAGCAAAGTGGGAAGTATATAGGAAGTGCTCCCCTAAAGACTAAGCAGGAAAGAAGTAGATAGGAACACTTTATGTTCTACTTTTCTGTAAATGAAAATTTAGCAATGATTTTTTAGATGGTTTAAAAAGGACATATTTGCTGATTATGGAAATAAATTTATGGTTGAGATCCACCAAACCTATTTTATGAGCTCAGGAAGCTTTTCATGTAGAATTAATTTGCACAAAAATGCCTCCATAAGCTACTTGCAATGTTACTGCTTTCCTCTTGTGCTTCCATTTCCTAACTAATTTATCAACATGCAAAATCTAACAAAAAGGCATATTTAAAGTATTCATTAAGAGTACATGGAAATTATTTATGTAATGGCCTATAAGTATGAATTGTTAAAGATAAGCTAATTAAAGTCTCCATACTTTGTTACTAGTATATGCTGGAAAGGTTACATATATTGTTACCACATCTCAAATATTAAAGAAGAAAAGAAAGCCTTGTCAATTTTCAAAGTTGCTCAAAACTAAATTAGGGTTTGTGGATTATTTCTTCTCTTACTAAATTTGAACAGACATGTATAAAAATTATGTGGCATTCTCTTTCCCCTCCAAAAAATAACATTGCAAATAGTAGCATTGGTTTAGAATTGATGGACTTCTAAAAACTAATTATTATTTCACTAAAAAGGGGTGATTATTGATTGGTAATGATCTTCAGACAACCAAAAAACTGTTTCCCTTTCCCTTTGCACTCTATAATAATGAAGAAAGCATGTCTTCAAAGTGTTTAATGTCACCCAGTAAGTAAGCAAACCAGTCAATGAATTTGAAGATGTGTGGGGAAAATATGGCAGATATTGCATGGAATTAAATACATGGAGTCCTTGTAAACATTTCCAATTCCCTTATATTTGTATGTTTATCCCCATTACCATGAATTTTTGTCATACCAACATTAAAAAAAATTCATAAAGATAATTCATCTATATCAACATTTTTAGATTAATAGACTTTAAAATTACAGATTATAAGATTTTAATTTAGGGCTACTGTTTATTTGCTAAGGGTATTTTCATTTTCTCCATTTGTTGAGTATGTTTTACTGACATTTACTTCAAGATAATTGTTCTTATACCAGTTTTCTTATTTGTCTTAATGATGACTTTACCATAGTTACTTATGTACTACACTATTTTTTAAATTTTAGTAGAGTGGAGATAAAGAGGGATGCTCAAAAATTAATTAGAATTTCAATTTATTTCTCCTTTACAAAAGTTGAGATTTCTCCATAAATATTATTATCAATTAGGAACATGGGCAATGCCACAATCCAACAGTTCTGAATCAACTAAAAGTGGGGGATAAAAAAACTAGCCAGTGTTCTGACAAAAGTTTTATGAGAAATAGACTTCAATGGGAAAAAATTCAAGTGTAAAATGTTACAAAAATATCATTTTACTGGACAAGAATAACTGTTTTTTTCCATTGGTATAAGTTTTAATCCCATCTAGCCAAACATTGTGTATAGTATATCTACGAACATGTACATATGTAAACATACGTACATATGCAAACATATGTACACATGCATAGTATATCTGCTTGATGCAAAGTTACTTTTCAATGGAAAATCAAACACATAGGACAAATGCAGGTAGGCGGATCATGAATACCACAGTGTATTGAAAATATAGAGCCAACCAAAGGTGGAAAAACATTCTTATTTATCAGTAACTATACATGAAAATGCAAGTAAAATAAAAAGAGTCAGCTTCAGGAGTTCAGCCCTTGTTTGGTGTAGTGAGGATTAAGTGAATACATGTGAGATATACACTAATTTCTGTTGAACAGTATGCATAATTATCTCCTTTGTTCACTGTTTTCATTATCGTAACGTAGAATTAGGGGGAACAATTATTTCCTGTGAATGTCTTTGGATTTCAACTTTCTCTGAAAGCACATCTATTATTGTGAATGAGAGTTCAAAATTCTCACCTTTTCATCTTGATGGAAAAGGTTAGTAGTACTGAATGGCTATCTGCATCAGTGTATGTATTCGAATGGTTTTCTTCAATATGGTCTATGTAGAGCTGGGGAGGCTACCTGTTTGAATTTACATATAGTAAAACACAAAAGATAATGAACAGGGAGGTAGCAATATCAGAAAAAATGTAGGAATCAGCAAGCTGAATTGAGGTAGTTTCCCCATTGTTCTGTGAAACTAGTTCCTTACTGGTGGAGTTGCTTTTATAGATTATGGTTGGATTGGCAACATGACCATAAGTGTTCAAAATCCACATACCACATTTGTGTTTCTGAAGTTACCTTATGTGTGTCTAAATATGTTCTTTCATTACCAGATATAGTCTTATGTATCAACTAAATTAACCCTAACATTGCCATATGGCATATGGAAAATCCTAATCACCATTACAACTTGTGGTTTTCCTACAACTTATAGAAAATCTTAAGACTAAAAATAATCATGTCAAGTGACTAAAACAGAATGATGCATGTAACATTTTGAGGTGATATTAAGATTATGATGTACTCTGACCCAGCACAGAATTTTCTTTTGTCACATATTTTAGAAATATATAACAAACCTCTGGCTGGTTTCTTCTAAACTACTTCTTTTCATCTTAATTTAAAAATTAATTCATAGATGAGTGGTGTTTAGATTTTGGGGAAAAAATAGATTAATTAATCACCAAGATGTCACATAACTACAAGAGAAATTGTAATTTGGCAAGTTCATTCTAGTTTTGCCATAAGAGGAACTGAACTCCATGCTTAGACACTGCTGGTAAGGGTTCTTCAGTAACTGGAGGTCTAAAAAGTGTCTTTAAAGAACTTTATCCTTCTTCAATAAACAGAACAACAAAAGCAACAAATAGCTAGCATAGTATAGCCTTAAACTATTTTTATAAAATGGATGGCCTCACAGTGATGATTCCTGCAGCTTTTAAATAATTGAGTGAATTTAAATTTTGACTATGAAAATGGAGCTTACAAAAAAGGTAAAATGTGATCTACAGTACTACCAAAAATCAATACTTAAATCTCTGGTTGGAACTGGTTTTATATAAGCATAGGACTACAGCTGATTTAGAAATAAGCACCTAATAACCTATGTATTAACCTTGCTAGTATGTTATGCACCTTATTTTATCAATGTAAACATGCCCATCCCATTTTTTTCTGGTTTACTTTATCTGTAGAATCTGTATAATTTTGTGCTGGGGGTATTCATCTAGGCATATTGATTTTTTTAGCATGGCCCATTTGGGCCACAGAATATTAGCAAAGTTTATATATTGAAAACAGAAGCAAAGGCGAGAAAAATGAAAAGAATAATTAATCATATAGTACATACATCAGTACAGTATCTTCTAAATCTCAATCAGTTGTTTATTGGTTGGCAAACAAGTTTCACTTTTACAACAAATATTAGTAATGAGGTCATTCAACTTGAGACCATACAAAATGGATCATAAATTTAAAAAAAAAATTATATGTGCTGCTAATTTATCTCTTGTAATCCTACAGTATGTAAAATCCTGTGAAATAAATAAATTTTCCTGTTAATAAACAGAAGAGATCTTTTGAATCACTTCAAAATAACTTGACCTTTCAATTCTTTACTACAAGGGAGTGAATTTTCTTTAAAAACTGGTAGCGCAGGTACCCACTTGGGGATCAGACTGAACATTCAGCACCTTAACGCCTATGGGATACCATTTTTTTCACATGCAGAAGTCCCACTAGTTCTATTGACACCTCTTGACTTCTAGAATCATAGCTACTGTCTTGGTGATGAACTGCTTGCCAAATATGCTTTGTATTATAACAGATGTGCACTGTAAACATAAAAGTGTGTCCTGCTCTAATTTGCAAAAATGCTCTTGGAAATAGTCTGACTGAATGAAGATATATAGTGAGGGAAGGAAGTCTAATTTTATTTATTTTATATTTTTTGTAAAAAATAATTTGTTTGCATTACTAGAAAATGATTCTTATAAAGTGACAGTTTCATTTATTTATTTATTTATTTTTTTGCCAGGTGAAATTTAAAAAAAAAGGCAAGAAAGAGGAAAAGAAAGAAAATGAAGAAAGGAAAAAGAGATAGAAAGGAAGGAAACTTTGCTCTCTTACTGGTAGACAAACTTGCAAGACCAGCACAAAAGAAAAAGAAAAATTGTCTTTTTTTTTTTTCACTACATTAACAGGACTCAAATTCTGGAGGAACAGAAAGCAGACTATATGTGCAATGCTAGTATCTGTACATTACATAGAAATTGTTCAATTTTTTTTCTGCCATTAGTTTTATCATCAGTTAATACAGCAAATCATAAAATATGCATTTAGCATATATTCTAGAATTCCCCTCCATTTCATTATTAATTTTGTTGTTTTTATTCCACAGCTATTCCCGCTGTGATGAATTCAGGTTGTCAGTGACTAAAAACCACTATGCGATACAGTTTTGCTTTGCTTTATGTTTGTTTGTGCAGCACTCCAATCTAGATGCGGCATTGTTACTAATTTCAAACAACTGTTCTGGCCTTTTAAAAAGCAGGTCCTTGTAATCATAGTAACAGAGATCAGAGATATTAGAACAAACACAACATAATTCAACAAGGCCACAATGAGTGCCATTTTCTTCATATCTCGTTCATTAACATAATGAAGTCTCCATCTGAGGGGGGAAAGGGCAAGAAAGGAGAGAGCACGGGGGTGTCAGCAGTTATCTTTCTCCCCTGGGCTGACCTAAAAATCCCAGTTAAAAAAAAAAAAAAAGAAAGGACTTCTGAAAGTTTGTTTTTGTCTCTCAAGAACAGCGTAAAGATTTAGGAGTACACACATCATTACCACTGCTTATATCAACTCAAAACAGTCAACCAGGTGTTAGCAGTTTTGTTGGTTTCAATTTCTGTGTCATCTTCTATAGACTAGTGACCAAATGAGCAGGTCCTTTTGAACTTCCCTCCGGAAGGGTCCCATCTTTATTTGGAGGAACTATAAATCCATCACTGCTACCGCGACCTAGCTGATAGTAGGTGTGCAGCTGATGGATGTGGTTTCTGGAGCCTAGGTTTGGCATGCTTTTGTAGTAAACATCTTCGGCATCACCACATTTGGCCGGTGGGGGTTCGGTCTGGGTGCTGGTGGTAACACTCTCTGTGACAGGCACACCAGCCAGTGCTGGCATGCTGGTATAGAGAGAGTCCCGATGGGGTGACGGGAGATCTTCTGTGTGCTCGTTGGTTAGCAAAGGGAAAAAACTCTCACTGTGGTCTTGGGGGATCCGCCTTCTGGTGTAATGGTGTGGCTGGTGGTTCTCTGTGGAGTAAACTCTTGGGGGCAGCAAAGGAGCATCCGATTCCTCATGAATGAGTTCTAGGCCCAAGCTTTCCTCATGATTAAAGGAGGTGGCATCATCTAAGACAATGGCGTCGTCTTCACTCCCACTGCCGAGGTTGTTCACCAGCTTGTTCATCAGATTCCTGTTCTGTTCACTGGAGCGCTCATGGTTGTTCAGGTAAGAAGGGATATAGTTGGAAGTGAGTTCCTTCAGAATCTTTTTTTCTAAGGCGGTCTCGTTATGGTTATAGCCACGGTCTATAATTTGCACACAGTTGCTCAGGTACTCGCCACTGGCAATGCTGTAACTATTGCCATGGTTACCATTCAGTGGTAGAGTATCCATGACACTTGTATCCCTGGCATTGTTCAGAAGCCCCTCTGAAAAAGATTACAAAACACTATGACATTTGTATCCAACTGACCACAGAACACACACACAAACACAGAAGCAAAAACATTCAGCTACGATGTATAAAACGCTAGCATTCTAAGTACATCTAAATGAAAATATTTATTTGGACAATTGAAATCTTATAGATAGAAAAGAAGTATTTAGAGTAAATATTGAAGAAAATTCAAAAAGTACTATATATAAATTTGCAATTTCCACACAAACATTCCCTGACATTATTTGCAGCCTATTTGGTAGCAACTTAGAAAAAATAAGACAAAATTTTGGTATAATCATTCATAGCTTTCAATTTATACACATCAAAGTCAATTCCATAATTTATTACCTATAATTTTATATGTTGTCTTAACATTAAAACAGGCATTCTAGTAACATAATTCACATGTGGTAGTTTGAATATACTGCTCAAAAGTAAAAGAACCAAGCAGTTTCTAATAAATTGATGTATAACTTCATAAGAGTAAAAATAATCCCTACATACAAAACCACAAAAGGATTATGTTAAATTTGTCAAGAATAATGTAGTCATAAGTAATACTTAGTCAATGAATGACACATCAAAATAATTTTCACATAGGAAAATTCAAAACAAAAATATTGGGATTTACTTTTTTTTTTTTTGCTAAAACCATTTTGGTCATTATTACATATTAATTCATTAGTGATTATTTAGGATTATTAGGGAATACTACAAAGGATGTGTAAAGACACAGGGATTTGATTCCTAACACATGGTATCATTATTAGAGGTTTCATTTCGTAATGGGTGATGACTTTGTGTGCATATAAACTTTGGGTTTAAAAGAAAGCAAACATTTTATTTGGAAAGAAAGAGCTGCAGTGAAAAAGATTTGATCACATGCTTCTCAAAGTTTTTTTTTTTTTCATTCTTTTTAATGAACAGAAATTCAAGAATCTAAAATAGTTCCATAAATCACTTCAAATGCAACCACAAAAGAAAAAAATAAGCACAAACATTTAACCAATACTGGTAAATAAGAGCAGGTATTTGTTTACAGAACAATTAATTGAAGAATTTTATTAAACTTCTTTATACACTGCTAACTTGTGAAAATATAGCATTCATTCTATATCTGTGATGCAACTACACTTATCAAAACTAAACTGAAAATTGTTGCTTTAAATAATGTTCCAAATATACCAATTTTTATGTGGATTTCCAAAGTCAACAAGTAACACAGTTTTCAAAAACAGCAATGCAGAAGCTGCATTAAAAAACAACCATCACAGACATAGGGTGAAGCAATTTATTTTCATGTTATAAGATATCTTTTAGACAAATCCACAATGTTAAGAAAAAATAAAAGTAAATGCTTTCAAAGGGCCATATGTGATGGGTGACTGCTGCTGCAGAGGCTGCTGTGGGATGCTTGATGGTTGATGAGTGACTGATGCATTGAAACACAGGTTTATTACGTCTGTTGTCAATGCATTAGGAACAAGTTGGAACAGCCATGTAAAATAAAGTGGGTATGCTGCATGTGACATGTATTTATATGAAAGTACTAATAAAAATTAAAATTGATGAATTACTTAGCAAAAGTAAATGCCCAATTTAAAAACAATTTAACTCACACAAACATTACATGAGACTTAACTATGTTGAGTATGTGACACAATAAAAGAATCAGACAACAAAAGCGTCTAATCTCTAGTAACATATATTTATATAATCGATCCATAGGCTCTTTAGTTTTTAAATTGTGAGATGAACTGTTTTTAATATCTACATCATCTATATGTGATGCAATAAAAGTGAACTAAAAAAAATTACATTTGATATGCAATGTTTAGCTTTACTCCCATACTTGTCTCTCTGTAGGGCTCTAAACGACAGCATGAAGAAAAGGAAAGAAAAAACAACAAGTAAGCTTACAGCGACAGTAGGAGAAACATGAGTAAAAAGCAAATTGATGATATGCAGAAAAAAGAGTCAAAGGAAATAATTTTCACTGCCCCAAAATTCATGAGTCTGGGTTACATGGTTTTTCATACTCAAAAATACTGAAACGTTAGTCAGAAAATAAGAAACCCACCTTAACACATGCTTATAAAATGAGTTTTTAATTAGCATTTCTACAATTCATAAATTTCAAACAAATACGCATTTACTTTAAAGTTAGTTTTATCACACCAAGTAAGGGTAGTAGAAATCTGAGCAAAAGCCATGACCATTTCCACAATTATCTTCAATATTAAGTGTGTATGTATGGATTAAAGCAGATGTGCATCTACAGAACATTAACTTTACATTTTTTTCATTAAAAAATAAATACGATTGTTAGCTTGTTTACAGAGGAAACCATACAAGAATGCTTGCATACTGTGTACCTATACAAATACTTCTTATCATTATGAATAGCACTGATCATTTCTGGAGCGCATATTCAAAAAGTTGGTATAACTAAGGAGAAAGAAAAAGGTTAAGTTCAACCATAATCTGTATCAAGAGAATGAGGGTAAAATATATACTATCATCAATATCAGGTTTTCTTCTGGATTATTGCAAAATCATGCAATCAAATATTTTTATAGTTGATTCTATTAAAAACTATCCTAATAAATTTATCTCTTAAAGTATGCATTTTAATTAGATCAAATGTACTTTTCTGGTTAATTCTTTTTACAGGAAGGCAAAATGTTCAAGCAAGTGAATTCAATGGGCTAGATCATTTCAAGAGATTCCAATTTATAATAATTTAACCACTGCTTCTAAGAGATGGTTTTTAGGTGTTAAAAGGTGACTAGCTTCTCAGAAAAACAACAGCATTTCAAAATGCAGCGCAATTTTCTTTTAAAATTTAAAAGTTTTAGAAAACAATAATAAGGAATAGCCAAATCAGTATACCAACAGATAGAAATCATCTGTAGGCTCATCATGATTCTTTCCTTAAACGAGAAAATTTTAGAACTGAAAAGTACAAAAAAGATAATTGAAGATGTATCTCTGATTTTCAGAGCTGAGGCCACTAGAAACTCAACTTGAAAAACACCACTATGTTAATGGTGAAGGAACTGGGATCAGAAAATCTTCTAGATTTTCTCTGGGCATGATCTCCTCTTCACATCTTCCTTCCACTTGAAAGCAAAAACAGACTATTCGCATAGTTTTATAATAAACGCTTGATTTATTCACTATATCCCATTCTATTGGTATGTGATCCTTAAAGTTTTAGGATTAAATTATTTTAAAATGTAAACAATTGTGATGCCCTTTCTGTATTGTTTCATTGATAGGTTTTTCTTTAATGTGATTTACCTTACAAAAATTGAGTTCTCCAATAATAAGAAGGAAATAATGGTCAGAAAAACTATGGATGAATTTAAAATATTTCCACCAATTCTAAATTCAATATAATAGAACTATATTATTCATCTATACTAACATTATATGTTTCAGTTATACACACTACAAACATTTTTTAGGCATTTTAAATGTATTGGAAACAAATGTGGCTACTTTAATCTGAGTGTTTCTTTGCTAGGATGCCATTGGTGTAACTGAATTAGAACAGAACAGAACCAAGTGGTGATTCAACATAAATCACTCTAGTACATACCGAGCCACCTATATTTCACACAAGCTTTCACCTTGCCAGTAAGAATATTAGTGCATTCATCTGAAAGTATAAAATTAGTAATAATATGACAATCACCAGTATTTATTTTGGGTCAGTAAAAATATTTAAGCACTATCATAGTTTCTTAACATGTTAAAATATATTAAGACATAAAATATCTGAATTAGTCCATTTAAAATGAAAAACAATAGTACAATCATATACTTTAGTTTTTAAGAAGTCAGAATTTATTTAGCTGGCTTAAGCAACAAATCCATTCAAAAGAATATTTGTGTACTTATTGATATTCGAACTAGTAAATATCCAGTAACAGATATCAGAGTAATAAAACTCTATCTGTATGGTGGACAATTTCAATTTAATAGTTCATAGAAGTGTACTTTTCTTAGCATAAACCTCTAATTTAGGAGCCACTAAAAATAAAAAAAAAAGCAGGCCGATTTGAATTAGGGAAAGCACAGATTTTTGTTAGTTTTTCAATATATAAGACATGAGAAATTTTTATAAGTATTCAAAAAAGCTAAACAAAATATAATCAAGATTTATGTTAACACTCTGCATAAGGCGAAGTATAAATGATATACAAATATGATACAAATCTTCATTTAACATCATTGAATACTTGCTAATATGTCAGCACTCTTTAAAGTATTTGTAATGACACAATAGTTGGCACTTAACCTACTGGAAATTAAGAAAAACAAAACAAGCCCTTATATGACATTTTAAACTGTTTTACCAAATTACACCTAGTACACTGTGTAACATATACTTCACCGAGTGCTACTATAAAATAGGAACAGTGACAATGGAGAGATAATTTAGAAAGGGTAACCTTGAAGAAGGACCCCAGAACTATCTCATATTAATGGCACTAGGGTCAATTCCCTAGGGAAAAAGAAGACTGACAGAAGACTGGTTAGGAGCTTATAAGTACTGAAGCCTGTGTGAGGAACCCAAGAATGTTTTTTTGTTGTTGTTGTTCCAGAAGGCAAAACTAAGTGTCATAGCCAGAGATAAATTTCAACTCAGTGGAAGGAAAAAGAAAAAAGTTATATATCTCTCATGGAGCATGAGATCTAGAAGTATGAAGGGCTCCATGAAAGGAAATACTCAAAAATACTCAAGCATAGGCTGTCAGCAGTGTCTTGAAGCAGATTTAATGAGCTCTACCCCTTCTTTGATTTTAAAAAGTCTGTGATTCTTAGATTTGTAGACAAAGAGCTTAATAAAATTTCATTTAAGTATTTCAGCCTATTGACAATTTGATGATAATCCTGATGTCATTTCCGAACCACTGAGTTTGTAATTTTTAAAATAATTTAAGTTCATTCTTAATAGATAACAAGGGTCAACTGAGGCACTGAGGTGACAATGGACATGTTTTAACAAATACTTGTTTTTCTGGAATTGTCAGTCACACCTAGATTTCTGCACTCCTGATGTATTATTAATCTTTTACCTTTGACTGAGAAGGAAACTGAAAAACAAAGATTCCCATAGAGAATAATGACATTTTTATTTAGAATTCTTTGGAAAAGTTACCCTGAAGAACTGTGGAAGACTCTTTGTTATAGTGAATATTCTCTCAAATATAATTTTAAGTAAATGAATCATTGAATAGTATTTTTATTTTGTGATTTTTTATTTGAATAATTTTCCTGTTCTTTTTATATATGCACATTTTTAATTTCTTGTGCCCCAATATTTCATTCTTAGAAAAATTAAAAGCCACATCCAATTGTTAACAGTGCATTTTTAAATAAATTTATGCCATTTTGTTTGATATACCATTTAACTTTTATATCTTTAAAGCTAAAGAATATACAGAGCGCTCATATTCAAAGGCCTGTTTTAATATATAGCCCCAAAAGAAAAAAAAACATTTTGTAACCTTCCTGATCCAGGTGATACAGGCAGGTAAGTTAAAGTAGAACTTGATCTGCCACTGCTCAGTTCACTGTCGCGTCCGCCAATGCTGAGTTCAATGTAATTTTCCCCTGGAGTCCATCTAAATGGTTTCATCACTACTGATGCTTTGTGCCTAGAGTGTGCTTCATTGTATAACAAAGTAAGGTATTTTCATGATCTTATAACATTAAGACTTTTGAATCAAGCCTTAAAGTCTTACTTACCTTAGGCAAATATTACTCAAAATAAACACAGAAATCAATCAACATGAAAAGTACTGACAAGGCACAATACATTCTATAACATTACAAAGAAACAAACACACATGGATGAATCAAGCAATTGATTATCAGACGGAAGGATTCCATTTTTTACTAAAGAAAACCTAAGGAAAATGGAAAATAAAAAGCACCAAGAGGGGTGGAAGGTGAGAGGAGTCTGTGTGTCTGCTTCCAAAAGAAAGAAAAGGCAGAAGGAGGAAAGAAAAATAGAATGTGGCCATAAAAGCTACATAAAATGGGACTCTCACTTGAAAAAATTAAGATAAACTCCAGCACACCTTGTGCGTTGTACATGCTGACAGAAGGGTTGTTACAGACCGCCGGTTCCCCAAGCAATGTATTATAGGGATTGTTAGTACCATGCGGACGAAGCAGAGCATTGCTTATAAGATGATTAGCCATGGCTCCTGGAGCAGCCCCATAGAAAGACAGAGAAAAAAAAGGTCAATCAGGCAAATGTGTTTGAAAAAAAGAAAGGAAACATTTAGAATGACAACAGTTGATACAGTCCTGATTACAGGCAGGCAGCTAATTAGACTCAAAAATATATGCCGCTAAAGCACACGTTTCCAACAACGCACATATCCGAGTCAATGGGAAAGAAAGAAAATGATTTACAATGTTGATTAAGCCACATTTAGGGTGCTCTCTTTCCCAAAGTGTAAAGTGTAAGCAAGAATATATCCCCATGCTTGCTAAAAATAAATTTCTTTTTAAAAAAGCAAAATACAACCTTCCACACACACACATAACATAAAACAAAAGCTTTAAAAAAAAGTTTAAAACACAGAAAGGCTAAAATTAAATAAAACATCCCCTCTTTTGCAAAACCTATTGGGTTCTTTTTAATGAAAGTAAAAAAGAAAAGACAACATTTATGATAAAACACTCATTTGGAGAGCAGTTGTTGACACGACAGAATTTGACACTTCTTAAATTCTTGAAAATGAATTCATTAAATTGAAATAAAATATAATCACTTATTAGTACACCATAGTAAGCATACTAATTCGGTGACCTCACAAATCTGATAAAGTGAATATCATTTTAAATAATACATAACTTTGTGGTAGGCAGCAATATATATAATCCATTTTCCATTTTCCAACTGGTTATTTGAACTTTGTCTTATCAAAATAACAAAGTTGAGTTATTCATCTCTTAGCAAACAGCTATATTTAGTTTCTAACATATCATCAGTATGAGATGTAATCTCCCACATCCAAAGCCACTTAATAAAAAAAAATAAAGATTACAGAAAGTTTGTTTTACATATAATTAAGTCATGAATGAAATGATAGCAAGAATATGTATTCAAGTTGGATGATTAAAAAAAAGAAATGTGACTGAAGAAAGGCAAATACAAATTGTATGGAGATATGCTGGATAAGAGATATGTTAATTTAAGTATACATATCTGAGAATGAAAAGATAATCTATAAACCAGGAGACTCTATCTGCATACAAATTTTCACATATTTGCAACCCAACAAAAATCTAGTACCTGAAACATGAAGAGAACTCTCAAAAGCTACACTAAAGCAATTAACAAGAATAAAAAAAATACCAGACCTAAAAATCAATCCAATGAAAAATGGGCCAAAGAAATAAGCAGGCATCATGGAAGACACTATACAGGTATCAGATAAACTTATGGGCATAATTGTTATTCATCATTAGGAACTACAGGTTGAAGTCACAATGAGATACACTTAAAACAAAAACAGAAAACATCAAATCTGGCAAAGATGGAACAAAGCTGAATCTGTCATTATTTTGCAAGTGGAGTGTAAAGTAATCCAGTAATCCCAGAAAACAGTTTGACAGTTTTCTTATAGAACTAGCCATGGAAATACCATTCTACTCAGCAATTAAACTCCTGGACATTTAGCCCCCAGAAATGGAAATTTATATCCACAAAAAAACCTACACATAAATGTTTATGACAGCATTATTTGTAATAGCCCATAATGGGAAACAACTCAGCTGGTAAATGGTTAAATAACCTTTGGAACATCCTTAACATGAAAAACTACTCAGCAATAAAAAAGAACAGCTATTGCTACACATAACAACCTGAATGAATCTCGAGAACATTATACTGAGCAAAATGGCAATCCAATGTTTATACACTGTAGATAGTATACATATATGAAAAATATATGTGAAATGATAAAATATATGGAAATGGAGAGCAGATTATGGGAGCCAAAGGGTAGTAGATGAAAATCACTGTGGTCATAAAAAGGCACTATGAAACATCCTTGTGGTGATGGTAGTACTCCGGACCTCAGGTTTGGCGGTGCATACACAAACCTACTCTTATGCTAGAATTGCACTGTCCAGATCACATGCATACACACACATTTAATTTAATTCAATGCAACTATAAAATATTAAACATTAAAATTTAAAAATATAAAAGTAAAACTGAACAAAATCAGGGGATTGCATCAATGTCAATTTTTAGACTGTGATATGGTAGTCTAGTTTTACAAGATACTATTGAGAACCACATTACATGATCTCTGTGATACTTCAAACAAATGTAAGTAAATCTACATCTGAAATATAAAGTGATTTGTATTGAATAAATAAAACATTTAGTCATCATAGTAATGTCTAAAAATATTTTTATTTATAAAATCCATAATAGTTTTATTTATTTATTTTTTACTCATACCTCTTGGTATTTTTCAAACAAATAGCAAATATTTTAACCTTCAAATTAAGAAAATGAACACCTCTTGATTTACTGTAGAGTGGGGCAGTTTTAGTTCTTTCAGGATGTAAGCCATATATTTGAATTCCACATATCCCACAAAGAACTGGTTAAGTCTAGCACAAAATTTTTCACTTACTAAATATTTGATAAACAGTTGCTGAGGTTCTTTGAAAACTACATTTCAATGCTTCTACACAGTGCAATGCCAGATCTTCAATTTATTATAGGTCTATCAGGTGAGTTAAATATATGGAATATTGGCCCTCCCTGGTGGTGCAGCAGGTTAAAACGCAGCACTGAGAAGCTAAAGCCATTTCAGCATGAGTTTGATTCCCACCCTGGAGGTGATCCACATGATGTGGCAGACCTCTCCTGACCCACCCAGTGCTCCTCTCAGCAGTGTACTTCATCGATATGCCTTTTCTGTTCCCTGCTCTGTCTCTGGTGAATACTCTCACTGCTCCTGCACCTCTGGTGGGTGGCCTGTACCCAGCCCTGTGTGAATAAATAAATATTAATAAGAAAAGCTAAAATGAGTTGACTACAGTGGCTTTCATATAAGAAATGGAATACTGCAAATCATAAACCTGTATATTGTTGATATAAAATAATTAAAGATTATTGGAATAGTATTGGTTCTACTTAATCTTTTAAAAATCAAATTGTATCAATTATAATATTTAATTTTCTAGTATTTTCAGTAAGAAGGAAAACTGACCTTCTAATGCACATACATACTTTCTAAAGTTACTCTACAGAAGCAATGTAGATAAAAAAGGAGGAGATGTAAGAAATTTAAAATGAAATAGTAGATCTTTACAGCTAGGGTTTATATCTGCTTATCTACATATTTCCCTCTATCACTAAATAATATTTAATTTGAACTAACTGGAAAACAAATAGTAGTCTGGATGCCTCTTTTTTTCACCTTGTTTCATACAGCTTTCAACAGGGTAAGAAGAGAGCACAATGGAGTACGTGCAGGACTATGTGTGCTTTGTGGGTGGTTAAGGTGGGGGTGAGGATAAACCAAGACTCCCAAAATACTAGCAAGGATGCACACCAGTCATACTTCAGTAAAAAGAAATATTATCACAAAGAGAAAAAAAGATTATTCCCATACATATAGCAATGCAAAAAAAAGATTGGTTCTAGATGATAAGGAAATGATTGAATTGAGTAGAATCAAGAATAAAAAAGATGCAAGTGAATGAATATTTTGGTTTGATCATGCAAAAATAGAATTAATTAATGAAACTACACTTTGATAGATTGTCCATCTGGTGCCATCTTTTCTGCTATAAAGTTCTTTTGCTATAAGTATTTTAAAATTCTTAATCTACTTTGAAAGTCACTTTTTTTTGGGTGAAACTAATTCAGGAAGACTGAATTTTTATTTTTGAAAATTTATTAATTTATTGAGGTAACACTGTAAAGTCAATTTTATTTATCAATAATTTCTAGTAAGCTACAAAGTACAGCAACAACAGCTGAAATGCTACTGGAATACAACTGTGATGTGACACAATGTTGGCTAAATGGAACAACGCTCAGTCTTCTGACAGGATTTTGGTAGGACTGCTTCTTCAAATCTAGTGCAATCCAGAATCAGTTACTGATTTGATGCCATATGAGCTACATACAGGCAAAATTGGAGATCCTTCTGCTGTAAATCTAAAAGTCACACAAATACTTATACTTTAAAACTTAAAACTAACCCACACTTTTCTTTTTCTCCTTGGTAATAAGGACCTTCTTCCTCAGAGAAAAAGAATCACTATTTGAAGTAAATTGGTGTTTATAACCAATATAAGTAGTCATTGAACCTACTGATAGCCTTAAACATGGAAAGTTATTACTCAGTGAGGGCTCAGTAACAGGAACTAAAGAACAGGAGCTTGCTGATTAATGTTTTGCAGAGGAAAATATTGTAGATAAGTTCTGTGATCCTTTAGATAGAAGAACAGGGGACATGGCTGAGGAACTGATCAATTATTCCCCATTTATTTCACTTAATGTAAAAAGCATCAGCTCTTTTCACAGACACTCAGGATTTAGAGTGACATCAAAAGGCCATTCTATGTCTCCAGACCAAATGCAATTTCCTATGCGGGATTATCATGCGGTTTATACAGGCCCCACTTACATTTAGTTATTTCAAATTTACTATTAAAAAGTGGCACTGACTTTTGGGGTAAAACAACTTGTTGTCATGCCTAGATCTTTAAAACAAAAGTTTGCACAGATTCTATCTCTTCCTCCTCCTTTTATGTGCAAAGTTACTTGAGTTTTCTCTAGCTGCACTGAATTTCATTTTTCTTTACAGACGTCTTTTCTGTTTTCTTTTGGCTGTTTCCTCAATTTACTGAGGTCATTCTGAATTCTGACACTATTTCCCAAGGTTCTGTTCATCCTGTCTCTTCCACTTCCCTACAAATAACTTCTGATTTGTAAACTTCTCTTCTAATAGCTATGAAATTGCGGAAGACGTTCAAGATCAGTGTTTACAGCCCATCTGTCACTGTTTTTCAGCTGAAAAGTTAAGCTTACTAGTCAGTTTCAAGACACAAATACCTGATGGCAGGAAGACAGTTATGACGTTAACACACATGAAATGAATATGTATGTGTTCATTTCAGTAAATATAAGCTCCAGCAAAACGGGGACTATGTAGAGCATTTT